ACCCCTGCGCTGGAAATAGCCATGCATACAACTTCCTCTGATTACATTGATATGTAGATTCATGCATCTGCGTAGATTAGTTATTCATTAATTTATTTGCTCTGAATTCTCGGGCGAGATTTCCTCAGACAGAAAGTCTGGGACAAACCGAAAGCATCTGAGAATAGAAAAAAAGAAAATTTGTGCAAATAATCACTCAGAATAAATGTCAGAAATATGAAGATTCAGTGACCCAGAACAACATAAATCCAAATTTGGCATTATGATTTAGAAACTCTGTGGGCATCAGGGTTCAAACAGAGAAAGTAGAATAATAATTATCAGCCTTTTCATCTTCACAGCAGAATTGGCTTCTCTTGCTCTAAATGAGGGCTATGAGGATAAATCATGGCTGTGTGTGTTTGCGCGCGTGTGTGTGTGAGTCTATAAGCTGCAGAGCTCTGTCATCCTTTCATAAAAGCATCATGGATCACCAGTTTTTGCTACCTCGGTGTCCCTCTTTCCTGCAGCCACACTGTGAGCACTTTTCAACTTTAAAAATAGTCTCTTGACGAAGAGTGCCAAGAAATGCTAAACACCAGACAGTGTTCCAGCGCTCAGATCTGGCCACAAAATGGAGCCTGCTCGCCCAGAGACACTGTGCTTTACAAGACAAAAAATAGAAGCACATTAATTTATGGCATCTGTATCAATTAACTCGGGTAGCGCTGATGGGTGTAGCTAATGTACAGCGACAGTCTGTGCTCAGGTTTGTTCATATAGCAAATTAATCACAGAGTCAATTGGTGTCAGATCTTCTGCGTTACGAAACGGGAAATGAAGTGAATCCCTCCGGGTTCCCAGGGAGTTCCCTGCCCTCGTTTAAGACGGCGCTTTGAAGAACCAGAAGCCATTTAATCGTTACGCTGGGGGAACAGCGTCATGGGCTGGATTGACAGGTTGGGCATCAGAACATTAGCCATTTTTAAACCAGTGCAGAACAGTTGCTGCTGCAGCTCATAGTAACGTATAAAAATGTCAAACTGACTCAGATAGATTTGGAAAATGTTCAGAAGTGAGCCATTAATTGAATGTTTGACTAATTTGGAGGAAGCAAACTAGTACATTTTAAAAATGTAGGATTATTTTGGAGAACATGCTTTAAAGTACTTTCGATGTGGTATACATTTTTACAATATTATTTTTTCTCCCCTCTATCTTTTTGCTAAGTTACTTTTTAATTCAATTGAGAACACAAACACTTCATACCTGACCATTAACATTCATTTTATTGCCTCCACCAAATCCCTTGACAGACCATCTGGATGAGCTGAAACAACCTTATGATGTCAGTGTGACATCTTTAAAAAATCTTTTAAATGTCTACATTTATGACGTCTCCTGATTGTGTCAAAGTATTTTTAATGTTAACGTTTTATTTTGGTCATTCTGAATTTTTTTTTGAAAAAAACAAAAAACAAAAAACCTTTAAAACAGAGCTGCACTGTGGAGCAGTGCTGGTAGCACCGTTGCCTTGCTGCAAGAAGATCCTAGGTTTGAATCCCGACTTGGGTTAGTTCTGCATGGAGTTTTTAAACAGTCCACAGTACAAAGACATGACTCCCAGCTGAGCTGTGAATGTGACACAGCTTCAGTTAAAACATTTTTTTCTACAATAGTTTACATTTTTGCTCTCTCTCTTGTTCAAAATAATGTTTAATTGGAATATATTTGAATTTTTAATTTCAGAAATCTGTGCTTCTTTTTCACATAATCGTTTATTAAAATGAAATAAGTATATCTTAAGTATTAATTTAGGATATACAGACTGTTCTTATTTTATGTAAGAACAGCCTGTTCTTACAAACTTTACATATTCTGTAAAAGTGTAATAAAGCTCGCTAACTAGGGAAGAAAGAATGAAAGCTGATAGATTATGAGAGTGCCAGAGTGACTTGAGTTTTCTCTGCTGTATTAACTTAAGATGACATGCAGCACTGACTCTCCTATTCCTGTACACTGCCAGTCAGTGGGCTGAAAGAATACTATAGTACAGTATCTTTCAGATATTTTTTAACCTACAATTGTCTTCTGAAATCTTTGCGCCCTCCATCCAATTCAGAAACATATTGGTTTTGGCAGATAATTAAATCAATATATGAATATATTCATCTTCGTGCAGACACCAGAGGATTTTGGGTCAGCACTGGCTGGTATATTTAGATGTTATTTCCAACTAAAGGCTAATCCCATATCATGAAGCTACCACCACCATGTGGCTGTTCCACAGTGAGGTTTTCTTTTTTTTTTTTTTTGGAATTAATTATAAAACATTCAATTCATGTTTTCTTTGGATTTTTTTGTTTGTTTTTTCACACTTACACACAGTACACATACAAGGAAAACAAAGCTAACTGTTGCCACAGTTAGTACTGCAGCTCAATGACTACTTTCTACCTTCTCTATTCATTAGTTTTTGGGAGGGGGGAAACACACAATTTCCGTAATGTCATTGTTGTTCCATATTTTCTCCAATTTATGAAATACAACTACTACTTTATGTCTAGGTATTGGGAATCAATATACTTGATGTTTGTTGTTTACTCTAGAGAACTAAGGATAATTTAGACCAGAAAGTGCACAAAACAATAGGTACACTTTTTTCGTTGCAGCTTCTTTGTTTTTTTATTTTCTCTCCTTAAAAATGTGTTTTCATTTGAATTGTGCAGCATGTATACCACAATGAAGATTGAGACATTATTTTTTTTCTTGGTCTAAATTTTTTTGCATTGCAAATTTTAACAGAGGTGGGTACACTTCTGAGAGCCATAGAATATTCTCACATAGAATATTAACGAAATCTTGCACATGGAAAAACATGAAATGATACGTAAAGCGAATCACAGTGTCACGGTGGGACTGAACGAAGCTGCTGCCCCACATCTATCTGGATTCTGCAAGATTGCTCCCAACTAATGAAGATCTCCCGCCTCCTGTCCTCCCTGGCCCGTGATGATCAGTGATGATCAGTGATGATCTATGCCTTCAGCGGATGTAAGGCATCAGTCTGGGCTGTCAAACAGGTGACTTGTTTTTATAGGTAATGATGCTAAATTACGCAACAAGGAATGAAGGAGGCCACCAAGTCATCCATCAATTGGGTAGATTATACGAGCTGGCATGGGGAGGGGGCATTTTTCAAACCCCGGTCCACTTAAACACGCAGCCCTCGGTCTCTGACCTGTCTCTATTTCTCCTTCCGTCTCGCGCAGAAACGAGCTTGCGTCCACAAACGGACCGGTTTGCCACGAGCTACCGGAGGGGACGTCTCATTCTTTCATCCACGGCGAGTCATTGTGGCGGTGTCAGCTGGTGCCGTCTCTTTTATCACACTGGAAGCTAATGGAAGCAGCAACTGGGGGAGGCGGTTGGAAGGCGGGGGAGGGTGGGGATGGCGAGCTAAACACACACTAACACAAACACGCTCAGAAGCAGAGGAGACGGGGCGGGCGAGCACGCCATGCCCCCGAGGTGAGAGCTGTTCTGTGGTGATGCTGAGACCTCTCTCTCTATCAGCTTGTGTTTCTGACACACACACACACACACACACACACACACACACACACACACACACACACACACACACACACACACACACACAGATGGGAGCCAGACTCCTTTCTCTTTTGCTGTTATGATCAGTTTCTTCTGTCCCCTCCTGGTAAAGTTAAGCTGGATGTCATCTTAAAGGCCAAACTACTGAGGAAAAGATTTACTTAATTCTGCACATCCCACCTGGCCTACATGTAAAACTAAGAAAGAGATGAATCAAGCGTTGCGTTTTCTTTCACTTAATCCCTCTTTTGAAGTTTTATTAGGTCTCAGAGTGTTTTTACATCTATTGACGGGAAATACTCTACGGAGAGGGCTTATTTACAAGAGAGGAAACAACAGCCAATTACTGCAGGAGGATTCAGAGCAGCGTACATCTTTTAATAAGATAGCTGACCTAATTTTCTGGTAGCATTGTTACCAGACACACTGCTACATTAATGACACGTTGTTTTAGGGACATATGCCAGCCATGTGTTCTGCTTATTTTATCTATAACTCTTTATTTTTTCAGTCTTTTTTCTGTTTGTATAACATAACAATCGTGCTTTATCATTTGACACCATTTAGATACATATCATGTTTATATTATGTTTTACATTAGGCAGTGAGACAGTTAAAAATATACAAAACAATATTATTTTACTAGACATAATTTCTATTTTTAATATAATCATCAGTATCTTCATTTTTCATAATCATTTCTTATATCTCTGTCAGATATGTGCTTTAGCTTCTGTGATCAAAATATTATTGCAGAAAACAGCAACTCCATATTTTTTTTTTCAACATTTAGACAATAACTTCCAATGTAGTACAGACATTCACAGTTACATGTTTTACACGGTACAGTTTTACAACAAACTTCCAGAGAAAACTGTGGTAGAGTAACTTTATACAAAATTCATAGGACATGAACTGTAGCCATTTCACATTTTCGCTCAGTTGTTTTGCTTTTCAAAGTAAACATGTTCTGTTTCAACCACATGCCTTTCACGGTAGCTGCCATAGAAGCAAACTCACATTGTCCTAACACGCCATGGCAAAAGTCTGGGAAAGCTTTTGTGCTTTTTGTTCTTTTTTTTTAAAATTATTATTATTTTTCTTTCTCTCTCCCCCGGTAAAGCAAAGACAACGTAAACAAAAAGAGAAACAGACCACTTTGCTGACTGGTCTGCACCTAAACATCTACATATGTATTGCTGAATACATATTGATCGGACTATGATTGATCATGACACATAGAGAAAAAGAAAACATGACTGTACTTAAACACAGAGTTGGTCCCGGTTGTTTTGTGCTAGCATATAAAGTGTAAGTATTTTGTAGATCTGCCCAGTCATGTAAACAGACTATCGCTTGGCTGAAATTGGTGTGTTGGCTTAAGGCCGTCTCTGTTCTTCTTCTTCTTCTGTTTTTTTTTTTCTCAGGAGACATTTGAGAAACTTTTCAATGGTGTTCCTGAGGAAAGCATGCAAAACGTAAACAGGATTGACTGTCAGCATTAAGGGATAGTCAATGTTTGCAAATCACTTTTCTAACCGTGTGCTGCTGCTTCTCTTTTTTTTTTTTTTTGTTCATTGTACTTCTTTGTACCCTGTGCTTTGCCAACCGAATACTCAATGGCATAGTTTTTGCTTTTGTCTGCCTATTGATTTTGGTCCTCCACTTCAACATACATAGTATAAAACATCTTAAAAATAATTCTAAAAATGCTTTGATCACATAAAAGTTTTATCACTCTCTTTTTTTTTTTTTTTACACTGAAAAAATAAGGAAAAAAATAACAGTCTCTCTCACACACAAAATCTTTTGCAACAGATTCTGGACGTCTCCAGATTGCTCCTAAACACGAACTTCTTATTGGCATTGTGCTTACTCCGAGCTCCCAGTTCGCCTTGCGGCTTATAGTTTTACCTCACAGAGAGCAAAGTTTGGAAAAAGAGACAACTGTGTGAGGTTTGGTAAACGTCCTCAAAGAAATTGACAGCATCCCTTGCATTCTTCCGCGATGTCAAGTTTGTTTAACTACTTAAATCTACTATATTCACACGGTATTTACTTGATTCATGAAGATATTCAACAAATCTCTAATCTATAACTCTATAGTTTTTTTTTCTCTTCTCACAGTATTACACAGTATGTTTACATTTTTTTTTTCTCTGAATTACGGTTGTATCGGTGAACACTAACAGTCTTTGACTTTGTTTTCAGAACGCAAACCAACAATAAGACATCATTGGCTTAATTTAACAAATACAGAAAAATTAAGCATGGTTGGAAAATCTGTTTTGATCACAAATTGCCCCTGGAGGTAGGTGAATCAATTAAAATCTTGGAAGTCCTTTGTAATGTTCTCTTTTGACTACATGCTCCATGAGGGTTTTGTTGTTGTCTACACATTGGCCTCAGCATTGGTCAGGTTAGAGGGCGGACTTGTCGGGTTAGGGGGATTAACGGGCTCTGTTGGGCTAGTTGGGTTAGGAGCTGGGCTGGTCGGGCTAACAGTTTTGACAGTCGGGTTAACCGGACTGGTTGTAGTGACAGTGGTGGTAATAGTGGCAGCGGGAGTCGTCGACGGATTTACCGGGCTAGAAGCCGAGGCTGGGTTTGGTGGCGGAGGAGCTGGGTTGGCAGGTGTTACGGGGCTGGTTGAGTTTACGGGAGCCGTGCTGGTCGGGCTGGCTGGGTTCGCGGGAGCTGGGTTAGTGGCGCTAGCGGGGCTGGTAGGATTGGCAGGACTGGAGAGGTTAGCCGTGTTGGTTTCCACTTGCTGTTCAGGTCCGTTCTCCTGACATTTCCTGACAACTTTGGGAGGCTGGAACATTATTCGAAGTCGCTAGGAGAGTAAAACAGAGCGAATGAGAATGCTAAAGAGGAGCTTACAAAATTAGTTCTAATAATTCAGGTACAGATGCTTTTCTCTGGGTGTTGGTCTCTGCATTCCTTGATAATTTTGTACAACTTTTAAAGAGATAGGAATAGGTTGTTGTACATTCAATCCACCTTTCCATGCCTCGAGGTACATGCTTTTATACTCATGTAAACATCTTTAATTAGCTCAATCAAATGTTTGAATGCTGGTGAATTGAAAAATCTGTATTATGTGTATCTAAATGTTAGAAAATGTGCTGTATTTCACTCAACATCAAATCCTGCCATAGTTTTAAGTGTGTGTCCCATTTGATGTGCTGCTCCCTTTCTTAAAATACATTTGTTAAAGTTATAGCGGTACATTACTTTTTCCATGATTACGTCATGTTGTTTCATTCTTTTTTCATATGTAATGAGCAACTAACCCTCTGATGATGACATATTAATATTCTATTAGTGCCTCAAAGTGGTAAGATAGTCATTGTCTGAATTACTCAAAAAATGCATCAAGTTGCCAGTTTTCCTTTAGTTTCAAGCAGCCAGCATACTGAGATGAGTGGATCTTTATCAATGCAAGCCGCATAGTATGCATAGATGAAGTCATAATATTAAGTCATTGCAGTTGTATAGCTGCTGCATCAGTGCTACACATGTGCAGCATAGATGAGAAGTAAATGGTTGAAATATAGTTACATGGGTTTTTATATGCTTGCACCCATTCTGATGTGATGAAGGTAAAAAGAAATTTAATAAACCTCTTGAAGATTGTTCTTTCATTGCCATTCTCACTATCAAAGGGTAATTATTTTACCAGTGGTAACTCCTGCTGTTTGAAAAAGGTAACACAGATATAATACTAAGAATTCTGAATTAAACTTTCAATGTGATTTTGGTACCTAGTCAGTCCAGCACATTTTATTTCACATGGATCATATGGTTAAACATTTATTGCTACTTGTGTGGCACATTGGTTAGAAATGGTGCCAACTAGTTTAAAAGTTTTTGTGCAATATTTGAATAAAAAAAGAAGTTCTACCATTATTTTTGGATTATTTTTAATTATATTTAAAAAGAGACCAGTCGGTTTTACTGTCACAGTGTCTGCTTTAACAATGAGATCAGTTTCTCCATCCTCTACATGTCTATAAATTGATATTTTCTACCAAAGAGCCATATTCAGAATCCCTCAATGGAAGGTTAACTTAGCTGTACTTTTCAATGTGCACAATCTAAAAAAATACAGCTTTATCTTCTATGCTGATTGGCTCACAAGCACATCTGTTGCATCACAGATTTTCCATATTCCACTGAGGCTCAATGAACTGTTTCTACATTTCAAGGCTTTTTAATGAGACAGATTTTTATCTTTAAACAATAGAACGCTTTATTGTCATTTAGCGGCAAATATTTATTTCCTTGCTTCATTCTAATTTATCATTTCAATTTCAATTGTCTGATTCAGCTGAGTCAGCAAATAAGTAAATCTTGATTAAATAGGAAATTATCACGCATCTGTAATATGATGGTCAGTTTTTTGTGTTTCAATCTATGAAAAGTGAGATACCAAACCCTAATGGTTACAACTTCGGTGGATGTGAGGAATGAAATGGGGGATGTGGGGTAATGAACCTTTTCATCTCACCTCCTTGTAAGTGCCCTTGAGCCCGAGATACATGTAGACCATGTATCCTGGTATGAGAACCATGGAGGACAGAGCCATGAGCCATCCCACTCCCTGACCCCAGCCTGGGAACACATAGTCTCCCATCGTGAGGGGAACCATTTGTACGGCGCTGAACAAGAACACTCCCTGTGGGAGACAAGAGACGCTTTATGCATCCTGACACCTCTGACTACAGGCAGCGCTGCCTCAGCCTGGAATGGCTGCAGGCAGGTAATATTGACTTTATTTATTGTTTCATCTTTCATGTCGTGACTTTAGATGTACTATCCTATTAGCTCAAAATACTCACAGCGACAATGAGAGGGGTGAACACAACCCAGCACAATTTCCACCATACACAGGGTTTGTAGCCAATCATCTCCTCGATGTTGTCGTAAAACTTGTTCACACCTGCCGGACAAATGAACGCATGACCAAAATATTCACATCTGACTGGTTTGTATCTTCCGAGAGCCGCCATGCATGATGATGAGGCATGACACATGAGTGCTCGCGACCTTGCGGCTGAGCAGACTCTGAAGCAGGTAAAACACGACAACGCACTCACACTTGACCAGATTTCGTTTTTTCAGGAGTCATTTTTGTGGTTATATTGAAATGAAAGAGAATAGAAAACACACCATAACACCAAGATATGGAGATGCACTCAAAGAAGACCAAGAACAGCAGACACATCCCACTGGCGGAGTAGTAGTCGAACAGTTTGAACACATAGATTCCACCCTGGTTACAAATAGCAACAACAACAAAAAAAAGAAATATTAGAAAAGGCAAAACACAGAAAAAGGCTCATTGATACAGAACTGCCCTGCTGTACCTGTGTGATGTTTGAAAGTCCAATCACATAGGACACGAGGCAGACAACGGCGATGAAGATCTCTCGTCTGCCTCGAAGAGCTCTGGGGAACTCGTCCACCAGGGCGGTAATGAAGCCTTCGACGGTGCAGAACTGAAGGACACAATCACAGGAGCGGCTTGAAACATCTGCCTGAATATGTGTACTGCTCGCACCTGGTTGCTTTCAGATTTGTTCTCTGTTGTTTTGGAAATATTTGGGATTAGTGCATGTTTTGGTAATTTCTCACTTCTCATCAAAATCCAGTCATGAAAAACAAAAGTGAGCGGAAAAAATGCTGAATATTAGATTCGGATTCGTGTCATTTTTGGTATGATCAACAAGTTGGCATAGAATGGTGATTTGTTTTTAATTGTTTAATTTCATGTTTCAAATAAAAACAAAAATTCTGGCAAAAAAAAAAAAAACAGGTCAATTTTTTCATATAACTAGACAGTCGCAGAATTCTGCTACCATCCTGGTCTCTTACTGTAGGAGGCGCTATTACTTCTGTCCACCTCAGAGATGTTTACAAATACAAATGAACAAGAGCATGAAAAATAATCATAGAGCCAATAGAAAAATTTTAAAAGTACAGATGAGTATGCGTATTTTACACAAACTTCTGCTGTATTTTATACTGCATGTCGAGAAACACCATATGTAATCTGTGATGTCACAGGGTGAAGCATAAACCCAGCTAATGAAGTTTGGAGTATAAGGTGTGGACGGTATCTCATTTTTCTTTGCCTGATATTATGTTTTCTAAATTTAAAAAAAGGAAAATCAAACCTAATCAAAAAAAAAAATTCAACATAATCATTACAGTCTTAAAAAAATGTTTTGAACAATTTGTATTTTTAAATGAAAACATAATCCATTTGTTGTTTGTTTTTCACATTTTTTTTCATCATGTCAAATATTTTACATGCTCAACATGACATTAATGTAGCTGATTTTAACACAGACATGAATACAAAGAATCCATTATCTCCACATCGAAAAATGCTAATTTTTATACATTTCGACACCGTCCACACCCCAGTTTCACATCATTGCCCATATTTCACTGGGCTGAGTTTTTCCTGAAATCAGGCACACAGCGCAATGACAAATGTTTTTAATCATTATTATTTTTATCCTCATTCAACCTCATTAATATTTAGGATAATGGATTTATTTTTATGTCCTTTTATGTTTTGTGGTGAAATCTGTGGAGATCAGAAGAAATGGCGCACAATGCAGTCAGACTTCACAGGATCAGGTTTTTGTCAAGGAAACGGGAACAGATAATTTTTTCCTTTCTCCTTCCTGGTGTTTTTATCTTAAACATCAAGGCACAAGTATTATTTTCAATTTAATATTTGTAAATTAAAAAAATAATAATGGGCATGTTTTTTTTTTATTAATTAATTTATTTTACTGCTCGTTTCTGATGAGAACATCTGATTACACAAATAAGAAGGAACTGAAATATGAGTAAAAAAAGAATCTGTAATTTCTGTGTTTTGCATTGAAGCTTGTTTGGTCACGGCCATTTGGGGCCATATTAAAATCACACACACATAGTAAAGAAACAGTGAAGCCTGCAATGCAAATGGAGGTGATAAGGTTGCATTAATTTTTTTTTTTTTTTGACAACTAATGTCAAAGCTCAGCTACAGCTATCTGTGAGGAGCAAATTGCATGCTTATCATGCAGAGAGCAGAGGTGAGCTGCATGATATGTAACTGCTTTTAAAAATTTAGGTCAGCCCATGAGCAGATCATCACCAAGCCCCTTACCTGACTGTCTATCCCCAGCATGAGCAGCATGGAGAAGAACAAAATGGCCCACAGAGGTGATACGGGCAACTGGGTTACAGCCTCTGGATATGCAAGGAAAGCTAAGCCAGGACCTGGATAGTAAATAGGAAGCATTATTGTAAAATGTATCACTCTTGAAGCTGCCAAAACAGCATGCTAATGTTATGATTATTGGGGATAGCAGAGAGTAACAGTGACTGAAGCCACTGCCATGTGCAGTTACCTGAGGCTGCCACGTCCGCAATGTCTTTCTTAGTCACATGCGCCATGAAGCCAACAATGGAAAAGATTACGAAGCCAGCAAACATGCTGGTGCATGAGTTGATGCAACATACAATGATAGAGTCTCTGGGGAGAGGAAATAATATATATATATATATTACAAAAATAAATAAAAAATGGGGATGTTGTGAAAGGTTTAAATTGACTTTTTCTCTCCATCCTATGTTAACCCTTCTAAAAAATAAAAATACATAAAAAAAGAGTGCAGGTAAACCAGAAAGAAGAGCTGTGGGAGTGCTTTTACTGCAAGATTTAACGTGAAAGTGTAAACCTTGTGGATGAAATACACATATTCTGTTTGAATGAAATGAAAAATTACCTTATATTGAATAAAAAGTGACAAACAAGCTAATTTGAATGGAACTATTTTACGCAACTGATTATGCGACCCAGAATGAGAGGCTGTTAGAGAAAACACTCAGGCATCACGGTAATAGTTTTTGTTTTTACAGAACAGAACAGAAAGAAAGAGCCTTGACCTCAGACTGATGCTCTATTCATGCCAAACAGCCACAATAGTCAGACATTTTTTTAAAAGTCTTTTAAAGCATCCTTGAATGGGGGCGAATTTTATACACCTTTCTGCAATATCTGTTTTCAATATCAGCAGCTTTCTCCCTTGTGATGTTATAAATCAAATGTAGTTCATGAATCATCAGCAGCACTTACCTGTAAACATTGTTATTGAACGTGTTGTAGCTACCTAGAGCTATAAGCGACCCCAGCCCCAGTCCATAGGAAAAAAAGATCTGCGTAGCTGCATCCAGCCATACCTGACAGAGGAGCAGGAGAGTTTAGCTGCGTGAGGCCGGGCTCTGCTCACTCCAGCATGCGGCACGTAGGAACAAATCCCATAATAGCATGCCGTTACCTCAGATTCTTTCAGCTTTTCAAAGTCAGGGGTGATATAGAACAAGATTCCGTCTCTGGCTCCAGGTAGGGTCACCCCACGTATGAAGAGAATAAACAGCATGAAGTAGGGGTACGTAGCCGAGAAGTAAACAACCTGGAAGATGTGAGGGGGTGATCAGTGGAAATCCACGAAAATGTTCAAGCTGCAACATATGTTTTCATGAGAGTCGTGAAGGCAACAACAACAAACTCACATAGTCAATCTTCAGCCACATTTCTGAGATATTCAGGAAGCAATTTATTTGATTGGAGGGGGGGGGGGGTGTGAAGGGGAGGAGGAAGGGGTCTGGCTGTGACCAAAACAAATTTTGTTTGGCATGGTCACGTGATGAACTTGACTTTTAAAATATGGCGTCACACGGGGGAGAAACTGCTCCGAGCGAGAAAGGGGGATAATCCAGATCGAGGGGGTATGGCTGATTGTTGCTCCTCCTATCAGGAATCCACACTCGGAACGGAAAACATGTCAGGAGAATTGGAATTAGAGGAGCCAACCAAGAGGCCGGGAGAACGGCATTAGGGGAGCGTGAGTTTTATTTTTAAGGTCTCTTATTTAAAAAAATCAATTCCAGAGCATGCAGAATGCAATCTGAAAGATTGATGAGCAGGTATTAGACTGTTTAATATTGCATGGGAGCCGCATGTTCTTATTAGAAACCAGCATAAATAGGTATTGGAAAGCACACACACACACACAAAAAAACATTTACCTTCCCTGTCCAGCTAACCCCTTTCCAAATACAGAAGTACACAAGGACCCAGGCGATGGCCAGTGTTACTGCCAATGGCACTCGGAGTTGGCCTGGTTTTTCCAAGCCATCAGTCATTTGATGCACATTGCGCCTGTAAGTAGAGGGAAACAGCGACGATACCATTATATGCACAGGGCAGCAAACAAGCAGCAGAGGAGGCCATCTTTTGATATCGCTGAGGGAGGCATGCAGAAACAAAACACAAAAAATCAATATCTTACTCCCAGAACTCAACCACAGCGCTGGTGAGATTGGTGGTATCTGGAATGGAGTAGTTTGTGTAACACTTTTCTGTGTTCCATATATTGTGGCATGAGCTCCATGGAAGATCCTGGAAAATGTAAAAATAAATAAATAATACAATTTGCTCCCAATTTTGACCAGTTTTGAGATTTTCCTACACACTGTTTTTCTAAATAATACTTACAGTGGTAAATGAGTTGTACAGGTAGTAAATGGCCCAAGCAATGATTACAATGTAGTAGATGTTAAGCCAGAAGGAGAGGACAGCTGCAGCAAGGCCCACACCTGACGTTCAAAAAATGATTTAGATGTGTTTTGAAAATAATTTCAAAAGGATTGCATTTGCATTTTGAATTTATTTTTATTGTACCTTTAAACATAGGAGCCAGTTTCCACACACCAAGCCCTCCAATTGAGGTGTACTGACCAAGAGAGCATTCCAGTAGGAACAAAGGGACCCCAGCAAATATGAGAGTCAGAAAATATGGGATCAAGAAGGCTCCTGGATGGACAGAAGTGCATCAGGTTGAGGAATTGACAATGCAAAGCTGCACAAATCAGGTGAAATATATTAAATTAGCTTCAATTCAATGTATTTATGCATCACAAATTCACTACAAATGCCATCATATTCAGAAGTATTTAATCAAATCTGCCCAATCATGTAGGGAGACTCAGATTTATACATTAAAATGCATACTAGTTATAATTCAATGCAGCCAAATTCAGTTTATAATGGTCATCACTGGGTTACACACATAGGCAATGCTTTTTTTTTTTTTTTTTTTTTTTTTTTTTTTGGGGGCCCAAATATTAAAACCCCCCTCTTTGGACTTGTTTTTTAT